AAAACTTCATTTACTTTTATGTCTTATAGTGTTTATACTGACTACAATATTGTATACCTGTATTAATTCAACTGGAAACCTAAAATTTTACAGCCAATTTTGAAAGACATGCATCTTAGCTCTGGAAATTGTTATTGAATGTGTCAATGCTGTTGTAATGAAATGCTTCTTCTAAGTATGCGGTTATTAGGTTCAACAGCGAACCTAAAAATTTTATAGCCGCTTTTGAATGAGATGATCTTTGCTCTGGAAACTGTTATTGAGTATGTTAAAGCTATAATGAAATGCTTCTTCTAAAAAAATAAAAATACATAATTTAAAAAAAAACAAAACCTTGTAACCAAGACTCCTCCTTGACTCCTGTTCCTGAACTAAGACTAGGCTAGGGGCTGTGTTAAATGCTCCCAAAGCATTTTGTACTCTGAATAACATTCAACATATTTACTACTTAATGTATACAGCATAAGAGCTATAGCCAATGACTGTGCATTTTTGTGCACCAAATACCATTATAATCCAATGTCTACACAACTATTATCCATAAACATTTGCTAATGGAATGAAAAATATGTTTTCAACAGTTTCCCAAAATTCTCAATTGAGATGCACATACTATAAAGTGCCCGATTATGAAATACTTAGGGATCAACTGCCTTACAACAGTAACTAAAATGACAGGAAAGAGTTGGGATGAAAAAAATACATATTGAGAGTCATTTTGGACAGTTGTTATTTCAGTTCTACAAATTCTTGCCCACTTATTACATTTCCCTACTCCATGCCCAATGCCTAGGGGATCATGGCCATGTATTAGAAGATCACAAAACATTGCTATTATTACAAATAACATGAGGTGATATTCCTCAGGTGTACTGATGGATTATATGGCAGAAAAATTACTCTATTATTTAGCTATCAAACTGCAAAAATATTTCAGATTTATTCAATGAGACACTAGTATTTCACAATAAAGAGAGACTGAATATATTAAAATTACATGGTCAGAATAGGAAAAGGTCAAAAAAAAGAATAATTTACTTACATCAAAGGAAAGGCAAAAAATGGTAGTGTCATTGCAAGTCTTGCTGTAAATTCATCAGGAAGATACCACAAGTACACAATTAAGCATGTAAACAGATAGAGAACTGAGGAATAGATTATTAATCTTCCAACGCATAATTTTTGCAATCTCTGATTTTTTTCCCTAAATTCTTCCAAAGCTTGAATTTCCTGTTAAGAGAAAATTATTCCATATTATTATATCTCATAAGTCATTTAAAAATTAAATTGGAAAAATATGTAACACGAGAGGAAGATCTGAAAAGATTTCTAAAATTCAATTAAATAAAATGTCCTACCATTTCATAGCAAACAATATGAAAAGGAAAACTAAAAACGAAGTTATAAATTTACACTGTCTATCCAAACTGAAATAGTAAACATTAATTTTAATCTATCATATTGGCAAAGACTAGAGGAATGAAACTGGTATCAGTAAACACTTACTGAGTTAAGCAAATAATAATTACTTATATAGCCTTTAAAACTCTGGGAAAAAATTAAATTAAATTAAAAATAAAACAGTGACCCAAATTACGTGGCTTCAATCTATTCACCATTTGCAACATTGCCAGAAAATAACTTGTTTTTTAATGAAAAGCTTTAAAGCTATAAAAATTTTTGCAGACTGATAAAAGCTACACAGTAATTTGTAATCTTTTTTATCCTGTTACACATTGATTCACACCATGCTGTAGCTGTAATTCCATTCTAACGAGTCCTATTACTTGATACAGGCTTCTGAAGTCACCGATAGAGCAGATTTTTTTGAGATCACGTAACACTCAAGTTTTCAAGATTCTTCTATATCATCTTTAAGTTCCTGTATCTCTTCTTCAAAATAAAATTACTAAAATAATATTTAATTAACACCTAAAATCAGTTAAGATACTTAAGAGTCAAGAACATACCTTATCTATACTTTCTAGAACTTCTACTGTGGAAGGTTTTGTCTGTTGTAGAAACAGAATACATGGCATTAAAACTTGTTACTGCAAACTTAAAAACATTTTGATTTATATAATCATAAATGAATACTTTAATTCAAAATTAGGTTTTCCCAATATTAAAAATATACATCCTATTTTTAATAACTAAGATCTAAATGGAACTATGTTAAGATTCTTAAAATGAAACTGAAAGTTTAAAAAACTTTTATTTCTAGAACTGTGACAGCTCTATTTTTACCATTCTTATATGCAACAAGACATTTTTTTAAGAATTTTTTTTAAATTTTTATTGAGCTTTTAAAATTGCATACAGTATTCCCTACTCACATCCAGACCCCCTCCCTCATCCATGCCTTCCCCGTCCCCAAACCCTATGCACTCTGCCATACATGCTGAGTCCTATTCATTCAGGCGTTTGTACCCAAATGAACAGGACAGACTTTTATAGAGAGAAAACAAAATTTCAAGCAAGGAAATGTTTTTTAGATAATCGTTATTCCAAAGGATTCACATACTATAATATTCACAAACTAAGAATCATCTCATTCATTATTACTAAAAATTTACCTAGGACTCTATAAAAGCACCACACAGTAACCACTTGCACCACTGGAGCTCCATAGGACTCTAGTGGTCAAATCAATCAGCTACATTCATTCTGATTCCTAAAGCACATAGTTTTTTTGAAGATCAGATTTTCAAAGAGTACCTAAGAATATGTTATTACAGCAGAGATTATTTCCCAAAAGTATTTTAGTATGAGTGGGAATGGGTCATATAACAATTAAGAAAAAGTTTACCTATTACATGCTAAACAACCAAAGACAGTAACAATTATCAATGATATAGTTCCTATAAGAGTTGTTAACCTATGATTAAATCATGCAAAATAGCCATTTTTGTATGTCAAAGCAGAACACTGATGATTTCATATATAATTCAAATTAAAAAGACAGAGAAAAATGAATAAATTTGATCCTCAAGCAATCTGTCAAAGATCTTTAAAGGGAGGTCATTTCATTCATCTGAGGAATAAAAAAAGTTGATCCCACAGAATTAGAAAATAGGAAAGTAGTTAAGCAGTGTCTAGGAAAACTGGAGATAAGGAGTTGGAGAGATGATAAATTAGGGGTCAAAGAATACAAAATTATAGATAGAAAGAGTAAGTTCTACAGAGCTATACAGCATGGTGACTATAGTTTAAAATAATATACTATATTTTATGAGTTTTTTAAATAAAGATTTTATTTTTAATTATGTCCACATGTGTGTGGATATGTGCACATGAATTCAGTGACCATGGGGGCCAGAGTCACGAGATCCCCTGGAGCTGGAGTTGCAGGCAGTTGTGAGCTGCTGGACATGGGTGCTAGGAACACTCTTAATCACTGAGTTATCCCTCCTGATACAATGGATTCTTAAAAAATGATGAGAGTGAAGTATCACCACAAAAATGATAATTATGTGAGATAATGTATCTGTTAATTAGGCTTAACCATTGTAATGTATTATACTTTCAAAAAATTTGCATACAATAAATACAATTTTATCTGTGGATTTTAAAAATAAAGAGGAAAAATAAAAAGAGGGAGTCAATATAATTCCAGTCTAAAACATGGATTAGTCTAGCAAGCCAAAAGCTAAATTATGCACCAAGAATTACTAGATTCCATCATTATGGTAATGAGTAAGGAAATTAGCAGCTTGTCCTAGACTGCATTATCTCCACTTACATTAGAAAAGAGTATTTACCAAATCATTTATATTTTCTCTCTCTAAATTTGAGATACTTCCTCCAAAGGATTATCCAATAAAATCAAACTGCATTTCTACTTTTGTTCAACCTATAATTCCTAAAACCGTATGTAGTGTGACATAAGCATATATATGTGACAAGCTTTAAATATAAAGATATAATCCATAAAAAACGAAAGTGTGGTATAGAACATATAATTTTAACTTAAAAATGGAATTTAGGCAGTATAAGAAGAAAACAAGGGGCTGGACAGATAGCTCAGAGGTTAAGAACACTGTTCTCGCAGAAGACCCGGGTTTGAATCCCAGCACCCACATGGCACCTAACAACTGTCCGAAACTCCAGTTCCAGGGAATTCCATGGCCTCTTCTGTCCTCCGCAGGCATTGCATGACACAGGTGTACTTACATACATTCAGGCAATACACGCATACACATAAAATAAAAATAATAAAATAAAAAATAATAAGACAAAGCAAGATAAAAATTTACCTAAAATACATAAATAAAAAGAATTCATAAGTAAAAATGAAATAATTATTAGGTATAAGATACCTACAGAATAAATAGAACTGCTAAGATACTGTCCAAAGTAGTAATACAAAAAAGAAATTAAACAATATCAACCTGCACTGAAAATTGTACCATGAAGGAGACCTTTACAAACAGCTTTACGTTAACACTTTTATGTTCAACTTAACTGGCAATAGAGAAAATATCTTACCCTCCATCGAGAAAGTAATCCACCCATCTTTTATTTGTAGAAACTTGGCACAATGATAAATATCATGAGTTGTCCAAAGGAAGTCACAGCTAAAAATAAAACAAGTATTTTTTAAATTTTAGTTAAATAGCACACCCATTCTAAAATTTATATGTTAAAAATACTATAAAATCCTGGGATGGTGGCATACGCCTTTAGTTTCAGCTCTCAGGAGGCAGAAGCAGTGGATCTCTGTGAGATCAAGCCCAGCTTAGTCTACTTAGGGAATTCCAGGCCAGCTGGGCCTACAGGGAGACCTTGTCTCAAAAAAATAAAAAAGAATTAATAAACATAAATATATATATTAATTTCATTGGCCTCCACTTACATGGAACTTGAATTCAGATAGTCATTGGTATATTCAAAGTGATGCCATAAAGATAAAAACAGAGCTAGAAAGTTCTTCTTAATGGCAAAGCACTTTAGAAGTGCAGACATAACTGATGATTTTCTATTCTTTTTCTTTTTTTAATTTTATGTGTATGAGTATATGAATGTACTTCCTGCATGTATGTAAGCGAACTCATGTCATGCAATGCCAGCAGTCAGAAGAGGAGTTACAAACAGTTGTTAACTATCATGTAGGTGCTGGGAACTGAACTCCCAGGAGCTGGAGTTACAGACAGTTGTTAACTATCATGTAGGTGCTGGGAACTGAACCAGGATCCTCTGCAAGAGCCACCAGTACTCTTAACCACTGAGCCATCTCTCCAGCCCTGAATTTTTTTTTTTTTTTTGTCTTTTTGAGACAGGGTCTCCCTGCTGTAGTCCCAGCTGACCCAGAACTCGCTATGTAGACCAGACTGGTCTTGAACTTAGAGATCAGCCTGTCAATGCTGGGATTAAAGGCATGCACCACCACTCCCAGCTAATAAAAAGTTTTACTCTTTCATTCTACAGACAAATAAAACCATATTTTTTATTCATTTCCCAAATAAACTATTTAAGGCTTAGGAGTATTTTATAATGATCAGAATAATATCACCTTATAAGTAATCATAGAGAGTCAATTGAAATAAGTAAGAGTTACAAGGCTAGCTATAACTTGAACAAATTTTTCAAAACTTTGAGCCTTAATTTGTGCATGTAAATTAGAATTAATAATGTCAGCACTTTGTCACAGGATAGCCTTTAGTGCTATCACCTTGGAGATAAGAAAACTAAATGACAACAGATTTAGTCATTTGCCCAACAGCACTTAAGAAACATGGCCTAGGGGGCTGGAGAGATGGCTCCGCAATTAAGAACATGACTGAAGTTCTTGCAGAGGACCCGAGTTCGAATCCCAACACCCACATGGCAGCTAACAACTGTCCATAACTCCAGTTCCAGGGGATCCAACAGCCTCTTCTGTCCTTCGTGGGCATTGCATGACACAGGCGCACTTACCTACATGCAGGCATAACATTCATACACATAAAATAAAAATAATAAATAAAATATTTTTTAAAAAAGAAAGAAACGTGGCCTAAAGTCCCTGTCTTTGAACTTCTTGTTCCTATTACTAAACAGTGCCTGTTCAACACCCCTGATAAGCATGTGTCTCTGAAATCCTAGGATCCTCAAGCTAGTTGACCCTCATGTTAGCTAGCTTGTATTCCCTTCTTTTGTTTACCCTCATACTCAGATATTGCATAGTCAGGAATAATTATATTCTAAATCAATTTACCAGTCGATTGTTACATAATTTTTCACCTCTTTTACATTGAAATGATAAAAGTATACTTTCTAATTCACTTTTTTTTTTCTTTTTGGTCTTTTTGAGACAGGGTCTCCCTGTAGCCCCAGCTGGCCTGGAATTCACTATGTAGACCAGGCTAGCCTTGGACTCAGAGATCCACCTGTCTCTGCTTCCCAAATGCTGGGATTAAAGGCCTGCACCACCAGGCCTGGCATACAAATTGACATATTTTTATCAGGTTACAAGTAGATAGTTGACCATGTATACACACGTATATACACACACATACAGAGGCATAGTTCCCACATTTTTAAGCATAAATACAATCACAAAATAATTATCAGTACCAAATTAACAACTGTAATACTATTTATATATTGGAATTAGATCAAGGCATACCGATCTTAAAAGTTTTTCTTAGAAAAGTAAAGCATGCCTAATTATAAAATACTTTCAATTACAAAGTGATTTTAAGGATGAAGTATCTATAATCTGTTCTGAAAAATAATGAAATATTCAAATATAGTGAATTTTATAAGCTACAACTAAAGTGCAAGCAGAGTAACATTAATCCTTCAGTATTAGCTCAGTATTCAACTGTCTAAAATGTGACTATGGGAAATTCAGGAATTCTAATGAAGTACAACTTTCTGTGTCAAAATACTAAGTGAATTGTAAAACCTTTTTTCTTGATGTTGGGTTTTGTTTTTGTTTTTGTTTTGTGGCAGGATCTATGTATCCCTGGCTGGCCTGGCACTAAGTAGATCAGCTGGCCTTGAACTCACAGAGATCCATCTGCCTCTGTCCCCCCACAGTGCTAGGATTAAAGGTGTAGCCCACCTTGCCCAAAAACCTTAAAATGCTAAAAATAATCACCAAGAAAGCTGGGAGGGAAGAGAGTCAGAAGAACCACTTAACTTACTATCTCAAAGCATACCTCACTTCACTATTTTGGACTAATTTATGTATCTAACATACAACTGGACCATGTATTTTAGTTTCTAAGAGAATTATATCCTTCCAAGTCAAATTTGTACCCACCACACCCTAAGACCAAATTATTTATGTTTTGGTTGGGTTTTTTGAGACAGGGTCTCCCTATGTAGGCTACCCTAGCCTCAACCTCCACGTTCCTGCCTTAGCCTCCTGAGCGTTGGGATTATAAACCTGTTCCACCATGCCCTGCCTGGCTTAGACTGCCTTTTTGCTATCTGTAATTAATGACAATATCAGTTAAACACTTAGCACTTTGTCTCTATCAGGCCCTAAAACAAATGCTTTATAAGAATTTTATCATTTAGATACTATCCCTCCACTTTACAAATTAAGACCCTGGGGTTAAGTAATATGCTAAGCCCCAAAGATATAAAGCAGCAAGGCCAAACATCACATTTTAGTTCTGATTTCTAAGCAACCAGTTGTTCCCAACAACATAAAATTAAAAATAAGAATACTTTATACAGTTTAGACTGGAATGTTTATATATTAAATAGAAAGACCTGGGGATTTAAGTCAGAAGTAGAGAACTTGCCTAGCATATGTGAGGCCCTCAGTTCAATCCCCAGCATCATAAAAAATAAATAAAAACAAAAGTGAAATAAATTATATGAAAGCACCTTGGACTTTCTCAAATATTTGATAAACAGAACTTCTAAAATGAAAAGTTATAAACACAAGAGACAGTGCTAATGCAATGTATCAGGTATCCCAATGTCTTTATTGGAGTAAATTTGAACACTTAAATCTTCATTAGAGAAAAGTTAAATGACTTGTCAAAGTTATATAACTCCAGTTAGAAGTGCAACTGGTACTAGAAGTCTGAAAACAGCATGGACTTTACTGCTTATTACCTTTTAAGTAAGCATATGAAATATAGTCATAATTCACAATAAATACCTATTTTTATATCAATTATTTGCTTAGAGAATGTTTTGCTGTTAAAGAAACAAATTATGGTTTAGCCTCCAAGTTCCCTGAAGCAAGGGGTTGTGCTTTTAAATTTATCCTCTGAAATAATATTAGAGTCACGGTCATTAAAGTCATATGCATGTTTTCATATTCATAATCAAAGACAGTCAATTCATTGTCTCAGCAATCAAATTCTGGTATTAAGGAAGTATATGTATATTTACTATAATGTACATACTAGTTTCCAACAGATGTGAGAGCACAAAAAAAAATATTTTCTTTTTTTTTTTTTTTGTCTTTTTTTTTAGACAGGGTCTCCCTGTAGTCCCAGCTGACCTGAACTCACTATGTAGACCAGACTGGCCTTGAACTCACAAAGATCCGCCTGCCTTTGGCTCCCAAGTGCTGGGACTAAAGGCATGCGCCACCACACCCGGCCTTTTTGTCTTTTTGAGACAGGGTCTTCCTGTAGCCCCAGCTAACCTAGAACTGGTTATGTAGACCAGGATGGCCTTGAACTCACAGAGATCCACCTGCCTCTGTCTCCCCCATGCTGGGATTAAAGGCATGCACCACCACACCTGCCTTAATTTCATATTTCTATCTCAACCACTGCTTCTGTCCTTTTCATCCAAACATCGTAACTTCAATTCTAGTTGCCTTTCAGGTCCTATGAAACAATGGGCAAATAAATTTCTTAAACCTCCCTATTACTCAATTTCCTCATCTTCAAAAGAGATAGTTAGACTGCTCTTCAATGCTGAAAGGCTCAAATAACATATCCTAAGCTATCTACACCAATACCTGGCACATGATGATTACTCAATATAAATTGCTTCTATTGCTATAGTCATTGCCATTTTCTAATCCACTTCTCCTTTCTCCCAAAGTAACCCTAGCATTTCCTTCTGAAGCATAACCAATTTACTTGCCCTTAACTGGACCTCAAGTGGCTTGTCCTAAAAAACTCTAACAGGAACCTGTACAGCCTCTTTCTAACTGATAGCACAATGGGACTCAGCATGACCTTAAGGACTGAGTGCATCTAAATACAGTTTTCAGTCAGCATTAACGCCTACCATATTATTTGGTGTTTTCTTCTATTATATTCATACTCATGTGTGGGTGTCCAAATCTTAAATATTTTTCTTGATTTGCCAGTTCATTTCAAATCACATTGAAACAATGGAATAAGATAGAGCTGTTTTCAAACTGTAGCTCAACTATATACCAGTCACATGATGGTAGGCAAATTACTTAAACCATCTAAGTCTTAGTTTATAAAATGGTGAAAATAGTTAGACTTCATGGAACTGCATAAGTGAAATTATCACTTGACACAGTACTCAGCACATAGTAAATGCTTAATAAATTATAGCTATTATTATTGCAGTAACCAGAAAACACATAGTATTTAAATAGGGCACATTTCTAACTTTTTAAAAATAAGCACTTGTTTCATAATTTTAAAATTAGGAAATAAAATAAGTTTGTGTTTTTACTAAAAATGTATTTTTTTATCATTTACTCTACCATAAAAAAATAAAGCATAATATTCTGCAGGCACTTCCCATTATAACACCCTGTAGGCCTTCATAGAAAGCAGCAAGAGAAGTTTTGTGTCGAACTAAGTTCCAAACTTAAATATAAACTAGTCTTCAACAGCAACTCGCAACATTATATATAGAATTTAAGATGGGTGAAATTTGTTCAAAGTCTTTCAAATGTCCAAACTGATAAGGCAGTTCTGAAATACCTTACACCTCTAAAAAAGCTTTTGATATGTGATGAGGAGGGGCTGACTTTAAGTCAATTTCCATTCTGAATTAAACAGTACCACAAAAATGACTTTGCCTACGAAATTATATTTTTGTGATAAGCATAATGTCCTCTTTACAGTCTCTTTCAACATATAAACATTATATAAATTTATTAACAGTATTACCGAGTTGACCTCAATAGATGTCAAGAACTTTTAAAAACTCTATGTTTAAATGCACCGCTCTTGTTGAAAAGCATGTCCTTAAATCAACTCGGTTCTCCAAAGAAGGTACTACGGGGCTTCTGAGGACTAGGGATTAGCCGTGCCTGCCAGCTTCAACATATGCCTGAAACTATATTTATGTTGAACTGTCGACTCTGCCAACGATGAAACTGAGGTCATGCAGACAAGAAAACAATAGACCCAGCAACACAGAAGCCAAAGAAGAGGGAACACGGAAAACTCAGTGAGTCACAGCTCACTGTGTGAGGCGCACAATCAGCGAACTAAACTCGCCAATCCCAACTCTCAATTTGCTAACACCTCATTAAAGAAACGAACTAATGTAGTTTCGAGTGGCTTTTCGCTGCCGCCCCTAACACTGCGGCTCTCTGTCCTCCCACTCCACCCCTCAGGCAGGTCCCCGTCCCTTAATAAGGACAATGGTGAAGGGGCCGCTCTCCCGAGCAGCACAAAATCCACGCCCACACGGGCTGAGCAGCATGACACTGAGTTTTCAACCCTTCCTCTGTTACCAACTCCTGTGGCCTCTGCACATCTCAGAGGACGTGGGAGGCGGCCAGCGCACTCAGGGCGGACATTTCGGCCAAGGATGTGCTCTCTGGGACCTTGCAGCACTTCTCCGGGCGGGTGGGGCAGAGCGCTCAGGCTCCAGTCCAGCACTGCCCCGAATCCCCAACCCTACAGCAGCGGAAAACGGCCTGTTGCCTTGGGGAGGCAGAACCGGGTTTTGAGCACTCGGGAGCCACGCGGGCCGCTGTCCTGGAAGTGCTCGGGGACGGCCGCCCAGGCGGGACGCGCGGCTGACGGCGCGGACACAGCCTCCACCGAGCTCTAGGCCACTCCGCCGGGGCGGAGGCGGCCGGGCTCGCGCTGGCTCCCCGAAGAAGCCCAGTGCCCCGTCTACGCGACCGACCCCGCCGCCCTCACCTTCTCCATCCTACCTGAGGAAAGCGGGAGCCGCCCGGCCCCAGCGTCCACTCGGGCCACTCGGGCCAGCCTCGACCGCCACCACGCAGCCAGCCTCCGCAGCCGGCAGCCACAGCTACTGACAGACCGCAGGGCCGAGCCAATGCCTTCCCATCAAACCCCGCGCTCCCGCTGCCAGCCAATGGGCGCCCAAGCCGACGCGCGCCGCTCCCCCGTCATGTGACCAGGCGGGGCCAGCAGTCTGCGTTTGGTGGTTGGAGGAGTGCCGCGGGGACAGTGTGGGCTGCGGGTCCTCGTGTTGCAAGGGTTGTGACCATTCACCCTGACTCTTACTAGTAGTTGTTTTTACTCTTCCTCTGCCTCCTTATAAACTTTCCCCCAAGTCTCGCCGAAGAGAGAAAACGCTGAAAGAGAGCCTGGGTTCCAGAGCCTCAAGTGAAGCATGGGGAGGAAAAGGGGAGTGAGGAGGTGTGTCTGGGAAAGAGCCCAAGCTGGAGCCCTGGATCAGCTGTCATCCAGCAGGCAGACCCTTCATAGCTCAGAAGAGGCCAGTTTCCAGCATAGCCCGTGGAGTTTTTAAAAACAGTGCTGCCAGGTTATACTCCGTGAGTGCTTGAGGCTCATGGACGTCAAAAAGGGTCCTTTGATGACTGGGCGCTTAACAGTGTGGGGTGAGCTCCAGATGCCAAAGACAGGTCAGTTCAAACCTGTGGGTAACAAGAGGTAAGCTGCAAATGCTAAAAGCTGTAGGTAAGAAGAAAAGCTGACCTTTCCATCGTAAACTCTTAACCCCAAGAACATTCTCAAAAGGCTCTAATAAAAGCCTGCAGAAACCGTTGCTATGTTTCACTAATATTTGATATATTGCCTAAAGATTCCTAGACAACTGCAAGTATCAATAACAAACTGCACTTGTATGAGAAGGAAAAACTAGAGATGTGTACATGTAGCATGATCAAGGGAAACTTAAGCAAAGGATTTTATCCTGTCTTAACCATGTGTGCAATCAGCTTTAATGGGTTTCTCTAGTTATTAAAAAATTTCTAATTTTTCAAAACAAAATAGGTATAATATACTATGTTAAAGCCAATAACACAGGTAAAGTTTAAAAAAAGAAGCACAGTATCCTCTCTCTGACCCACAGGCCTCTCTCTCCTGGGTGAGCTGTTCAAGCCTTCCACACCATGACTGCCCCAGCCTCACTCACCCTCCCATCTCCCCCACCGGGCTCGCCTCCTAGCCTAGGTCCTGTCCCATTCCTTGTCTTGGTGCCCCAGACACATGGGGAAGCACCACTGCTGCCTGATCCATCATATCCAGACCAACTCAGTTCCTTCTTGGGTCCCCTGGAGTGCTCTGGGGCTGGCCCCACCCTCACCTCCCTCTGCTTCCCTGGGTCTGCACAACCAACCGTCCTCTTTCCTGGACTCCTGGACTTACCTTTCCTCTTCCTGGTCCTTGGCATCCAGACCAACCCAGCTCCTCAGTGCAGTCCCCAAGAGACCTTCAGGTGCTTCCAGCCCCCATCGTTCTTTGCATATCTGGGTGGCACCACTACCAGCTGCCCTAGAGCAGGATCTTTCCTAGGACCCGCTCACAGGCCAGTCAAACCCCCAAATTTCTGAGGCCAAAATCTTTCCTGGAGGGATCCAGACCTTAGGAGAAAGCCTGAGAGCATATGATCCTCATCTGACTTGGGCCTCTGTGGGAACTCCTGAAGACAAAAGCAATCTGGCCACTCCAATATAAAGTCAAAAGAGAGAACTGGAAGCTTAGATGAACCAGCTTTTCATGCCAAAAAGCAAACCACAAAGACATGTAAAGTTCACAAAAAGAAGCAGACCTAAACATGAATGCCTGAGTCTCACACAAGAATCAGAAACTACGAAAGAAATTCACATGTAAATATCAAAGAGAAAAAATAATAACATGAAAAACAAAAATAACATATCCTAATTAAATACCAATAGTCCTCTAGAGGAGTACAGTGAGAACCCCCTATAGATAAGGCAGGACATGGAACTCAAAAGAACAATTATAAACATGATAAAAAAGAATTCAGTGAATTTGAAGCACACAAAAGAAATCAAAGACCTGGAGGAAGATAGGGATAAACATCTGAATGAATTCAGAAAAGAGTTAGAAATATTGAAGAATACTCAGGCTGAAATGAAGAACTGAAACACTCAGTAAGCCAATTAGAAATGACAGGAGAAAGCCTCACCAACAGGATGAATGAAATGGAAAACAGAGTATCAAGACTGGAAGATAAAGTGGATGAACTAGACCACTCAAGCAAAGATTATGAAAAATTAAAGAACTCACAAGAATGGAACATGCAGGAATTGTGTGACACCATAAAGAGACCAAACTTACAAATCATAGGCATACTGGAAGAAGATGAATCCCAAGATAATGGCAAGGACCACATCTTCAACAGAATCGATGAAGAAAATTTTGCAAAATTAAATGCATGCCCGTACAAATACAAGAAGCATAGAGAACACCAAACAGACAGGACCAGAAAAGAAACTCTCCACAGCACATCATTAAAACACTAAACATACAGAACAAAGAGACAATACTGAAAGCTACAAAAGAGAAACAACAAGTCACATATAAAGGAAAACCCATTAGGATCACAGCTGACTTTTCAATGGAAATTGTGAAAGCCAAAAGAGCCTGGATCAAAGCATTCCCAGTTTTAAATGACCACAGATACTAACCCAGATTACTATACCCAGTCAAAATGTCTATTATAGTCAAAGTGGAAAGAAAAATCTTCCATGACATAAATAGGCTGAAGGAATTCATGTCCACAAAATCAGCCTTTCAGAGAGTTCTGGAAGGAATACAAAGAGCTGAAGAAATGAATGACTATACACAAGGGGTTGCACAAAGAAATTCAATGAAGGTATAACTGTGGAAAATTACAGCTATATCAAGAATGTAAAAAGAAATAAAAATGACAGGATTCAATACACATCTTTCATTAATAACTTTAAATATTAACGGACTGAACTCCCCAGTCAAAAGACACAGATTAGGTGAATGGATTATGAAACAAAACCCATCTTTTTGTTGTTCGCAAGAAACTCATCGCACTTTCAAGGACAAACACTATCTTAAAGTGAAAGGATGGAAAAAAATATACCAAGGAAATGGTACTAAGAGCAGGTGTAGCAATCCTAATATCTAACAAAATAGACTAAAATTAATCAAAAGGGATAAAGAGGGCCACTACATTCTGATGAAAGGAACAATAAATCAAGAAGATATTACAATCATGAACATATATTCACCAAACTCTGGTGCACCCAACTTCAAAAAAATTACTATAGGACTTTAAGACCCAGACTAATCACAATTCATTAATAGTAGGGGATTTCAATACCCCACTGTCTCCATTAGATAGGTGAACAGGGCAGAGAGTTAACAGATAGACATCTGAATTAAACAATACCATATATCAAATGGACTTCACACACATTCACTGAGTATTCCACCCAAGCACCAAAGGACATATTTTCTACTCAGCACCCCTCAGCACCCCATGAAACCTTCTCCAAAATCGACCATATACTGGGGCACAAAACAAACCTCAACAAATACAAAAAGACTGAAATAATTCTACGCATTCTATCAGACCACAATGCAATAAAGCTTTCAATCAACACCCTAAGAAACCCTAATCACCACATGAACACATGGAGATTAAACAACACACTCCTGAATGATGAATGGGTCAAAAGTGAAAATAAGAAAAAAATAAAACTCTTCCTGGAATTAAATGAAAAGGACAATACAACACGACAAACTCTGGAACACACTGAAAGCAGTCCTTAGAGGAAACTTTATAGCTACATCAAAAAATTGGAAAGAAAAGAAATAAATGACTTAAAGTTGCAACTCAACACACTTGAAAAGCAACAACAAGGGAAACCCAAACCCAGCAGACAAGAAGAAATAACAAAAATTAGGGAAGAAATTGAAGAAATTGAAGCAAAGAAAACAATACAAAGATTCAACAATTCCAAGAGTTGGTTTTTTGAAAAGATAAACAAGATTGACAGACTGCTAGCCCAGTTAACC